ACGCACACACATGTGCACACACGTGTACTCACCCACACATATACGCACACACATGTGCACACACGTGTACTCACCCACACATATACGCACACACACGTGCACACACAGCCACAGGGTCTGTCAGTGGCAGAAGCTGCCCTGTCCCCAGCCCCAGCTCTCCCATATGCCCTGTGCACACGGACACACATGGACACAGATGGACATACATGAGGAGGGGTGTGTGTGTATCTACACAAATACTGTAATCTTTATGTGAGTGCACATACACTTAGGTATATATATCTGCATCCCCCCCACACCTATATGACTGTATCTCTTCATATATAGCATGTGTAGATCTGTGTACACACGTGTACACAGATGGGACTGTAAGTTTTTAGATATATGTGTGCATATATATCTTTATGTGAGCACACACAGATATAATGATTTATTTAGGTGCAGCTATGTCTGTGTGGGTGTGTGTTTATATAATATAGATATGTGTATATATAATATACATGTATATTATACATGTATAAATAATGCATTTGTAGTTTTAATACACGTGTGTTTGTGTACATATATAACTAAATAATTGGTTGTGTGTGTATGTGTAGGTGTAGGTATGGGTAGATAACATACATACATAGGCATAGATCTATACATAGGTAGGGATGTATAGATCTGTATTTACAGAGGTGTATATACACATACATGTATCTGTGTATATGTACATACATAAATGTGTAATTTATATGTGTATATACACACACATGCATATGTAGATATATCTCTATATCTACATATCTCTGTATCTCCATGTCTGTATCTCTGTATGGATATATAGCTGTGTATATATACACAGACACCCACATGTATTTGTAATTTTTATATATTTATACATAGGCATAGATATAGATACAGCTAAGGGTGTATAGATTATACTAGACACAGATAGTATACATGTGTGCATACAGAAGTACACATTTGTATATACAGAGATAAACATTTGTATTTGTGATTTCAAACATACATATCAGTGTGTATGTTTCTGTTTGCACACAACCATCAATGTAGTTCTGTAGACAGATGTATAAATAAAGGTGTGTGGGTACAGCTGCAGGTAAATCCATGTACCTAAAGGTGTGGGGGTGTGTATGGGGCAGGGGTGTGCATATGGACCCCAACCATGCACAGAGGGAGAGCTCTGATGTTCTGTGTGGGTTGGGAGACCCTCCGTGTTTGCACACACACACAAATTTATGGGGGGCTTGTAGGTGCAGCCACGGCTACACAGGGAGTGGAGAAACACACACACTGTGCACAGAACTGAGGGCTTGCACATATATTTAGTTTTTATATTTGTCTGTGCACAGATAGATGCAACTCTGTGTATATATGTATAGGGATAGATAGATATAGGTATTGGCAAAAATGTTTGTTCTGCACAGAGTACACAAAGAGCTATAAAGAGATAGATAGATGTAGCTATAGCTGTATCTCAGATAGCTATATTTCATATCTATATCTATCATATATGTATCTAGATATAGCTATACCTATATATAGCTATAGCTATATATCTAGATGTGTGTTATCTATAGTTATATCTAAATCACAAATATCTGTTTCCACATGTATATACAGCATATGTTTATAGAAAGATGAGTATGTAGTTATAGAGTTGGGTGTGGATATAAATATATCTACACATATATCTGCATATACACACATATATGTATGTACCTGTAATTGTCATATGTGTGCATATATCCATACAAACATGGATGCTGTTACAGCAATATATTTACATGGATGTGTACACATCTATATATTACATATATGGATCTATACATGGAGCTATGTATGTCTGTATATACACAAGTACACACGTGTCTACATGTGTGTGTTTGTATACACTTTACATCTAATTTTCAGAGACGTGTGTACATATCTGTATACACATCTATATACATATATACATACATATCTCTGTGTGTGTGTGTGTGTACACACACCTGTAATGAGTGGATGTGGGTGTGTGTATAGAGGCCCCTGTATTTCAGTAGCTTTGTGCAGATGCATCTGAAGGTGCCTGTGGGCCGTGGTCACCTCCACAGCTGCTGTGTGCAAATGTACACGTGTCTGTATGTCCCTGCGTGTCTCCTGTGTGTCTGTCCGCACACACGCTCACGCACTTGCCCACACACACTCCCCTGGCCCGGCCCCTCCCTGCAGCAGAGCCCAGCCCCACGCTCAACCGGGGCACCCCGGGCTTCTCTCACAGGGACCCCCTTCCCTGTCACCGCCCCATCCTGTCCCCCACCCCGGGAACCGCAGCCCCACCGTGCCGGTGTCGGGCTGGCGGTGCCGGCGGCACAGGGCAGAGGC